TGATGAAGACACCTCCATGATTTTGGAGTAGATATTATTTTAGAGGAACTAACAAATGTGATGATGTACTCAATAACATGTCAGAATCTTTCAATAGTGTTATTCTTGAGTCAAGGTCCAAACCCTTAGTGACCATGGTGGAAAAGATCAGAACATATTGTATGGAAAGATTGGCAATAAATAGGACGAGGTTTCAAAATATGGCTGATGATGGTGTCTTGCCTAATATAAGAATGAAGGTTGATAAAACCAGTAGTTACACCAAATTATGGATTGTGAGGTATATCTTTTGTGCTTTGTATTATGTATGCTTTGTATTATGTATGTCATTGTCTCTTGTACTGAACAATTATCTCCATATGTCTATTAATGTAGGATGTCTGCTGAACACATATTTGAGGTTAGGCATGTTGAAAATCCTGCAGATATATTTGTTGTGAATTTGAAAGAAAGGATATGCTCTTGTAGAAGGTGGGAACTAACCAAACTGCCTTGTGTTCATACATTGTCATGTATGAAAAGTATGAACTTTAAGATTTAAGAATACATCCCTGTTTATTATAGGAAGTTAATGTGCATGAAGGTCTATGCACATGTGATTTATCTTGTAGATGGATCAAATCTTTGAGTGAGAACATAATATCTAGATGTGCAGCCTCATAAATATAGAAGGATGCCTGGAAGACCAAAGAAAATAAGAAATATTGAGCAAGGGGAGCTGGATGTAACTGGAAAAAAAATGAGGAGAACAGGGTTTGCAATCACGTGTTCTAGGTGCAAGCATCCAGGGCACAACAAATCAAACTGTAAGGTGACACCAACTGCTCAAGATACTCAACAAACTACTCAAGATACTCAACAAACACAAGGTTCCAAGCAAGCTACTCAAGGTCTCAACATGCTACTCAAGGTTCTCAACTGGATACTCAAGGTTCTCAACTGCCAAAAACTAGATGAAGTCAGATAATATCAATTGTTGGAGGAAAACAAGGAAGTCAGACAACATCAATTGTTGGAGGAAAACAAGGAAGTCATGCAACATTAACTGTTGGAAGCACACAAAGTTCTCAACTGCCAAAAACTAGAGGCACATCTGCTACTCAACAATCAACACTAGGAAGGCCAAGTAAGCTGGGTGTTAGGAGGTCATCAACACCTTTTGTTCCTTATGGACCTACTACAAGACTAAGTGTTGTCAAGAATGTGATTGACCCAACTACAAGGAGGACAACTCCAACTAAGAGGACCAAACCTAAGAAAAAATCTTAGTTGTATTTAAGATGTTGCTTAATGGTCATAAGTGTATTTGGAACCACTTTTGGATATTACCGTTTTGTGTTATGGTTATGGGTGTCATTTTGAAATATTGTCATTTTGTGTAATGGTTATGAATATCATTTTGTAATGTGTTTTGAACAAGTTTATATGCTAATGACAATTATGTGTTATGGTGAAATTATGTGTTGAGCAAGAATTAACAATTATGTGTTATGACAATTATGTGGAATGGTAAAATTTTGTGTTGAACAATTGATCAAAGTTACACTGATACATTTCACTGCTAAATGGCACAAGATTTAACTAATACAAACCAAAACATTTCACTACATGATTTTTCAAGGTTCAGCTGATACAGAGCAAAATATTTCACTGTTAAATGCCACTAATTTGGGAAATTGATACAAACTTAAACATTTCAAATAATAATGAAAAAAATCGAAACTGCTAAAACTACAATAACAAACATCATCCAACATTTTTTCCACCTCAAAATCTTGTTCATCTCATTTTGAAGTTGATTCATCTTTTTCCCTAATTCTTCATTTGTCAACCTAACCTTTTCAAACTCCATTATTGCATCATCCACTTTCTTTGTTAACTTTTTCAACTTAGACATTATAATTTGCCATTTCTTATCTTGAACTTTCTCATAGAACCATTCAAAATACCCACACCTAGGTTGCATTGTTCCCTGCAATTTATAATAGATTATCCAAACTGTAATCAACATACAGTGGATTATTCAAACTATAATCAGCAGACAAACTGCTTGTACATAGCACATACATATCTTAAAATGAGAACAACCCCAAACAAGTTTTCCATAGTTCTCTGTCATTGTCGACCTACGAAGAATAGTCGTGTCTTCACAATGACAACTCGATTTTCATGAAAGATTCGAGCTCGTGAACACATTGGAGTTCATACTTTCATAGCTTTTCTGTTTCATGGAGGATGAACCATAACCTGATTTTATGGAGGATCAACCCTAATCTTCAATTTTTGGAAATCCAAATCAATTTTAAAAAAAAAAACTAACTCCTAAATCAATTCAAAGTTGAACGCAGATGGTGGTGAAATAACAAAGGAAAATGAAAAGGAACAATTATGTCATCTGCCACGTTGTCGTCATTCATAAACGTCCGTTTGAAGGAAAGAGGCAGAAAAGACTCACGTGCGCCGTTTTTAGTATTTAAGGGATCAATTTGAAAATTTTAAAAATTAAGAAACTAAAATAAATCCTAAGATAAAATTAAGGGACAAAAAATGATATTTTGTCTAAAAAAAAAAAGTCAACGAAAACCAAACATCTTACTAATATGTTTTGCAAAATCACTACTATAATTTAATATAATTCAATAAATACACTATTATATCAAACATGCTTTTAGTTCCTATAATATTTTATGTGACATTTTGGCTGGGAATGTCTTTGTCCTTAAAAACTCTGTCCTGGCTGTCTCCGACTCAAGCAATGGTAAAGACCTGTGTTTTGTTTGAACCCAAAAAATAGTAAGGACTTCGCCAATATAAAAACCAGTCTTAATTAAAATATTTAGTAGTGTAAAGTTTTCTGGCACTTTTTTAATATAAAGTTACTTTTATTTGAATTGTTCTCCGAATTTTAACAATATTCTCATTCTGGGTTATTTTATATTGAACAAGAAATCAATAAACATGGTTAAAAGAATATTGTACTTGCAAAAGATAATTTTGTCTTGGTGTAAAGAAAGGATTAAATAGTCTCATGTCGAAACAGGTTATTCAACAAGAAATTGCCGCCTAATCTAATATGTATCAAAGTTTTGTTATTGAAGTGTTGGAGGAGTTGTCTTGATATAGATTTTGAATTTGTAATGTTAACAGAACTAAATATTTTAAGTTTTGCTTAGTGGACAAATTATCAGGATTCCATAAATAGGGTGTAACCCCTATTATTGTAATACGATTCACTTAAATAAAATTACAGCTTTGAGAGCAAATAGTTATTCTGGAGAAATTATTCTTCTACCCCTATTTTATATTGAATCCCTAATTTCCTTTCTTCTCAATTCAATGTTAATTTGTTCTTCTCTATTATTGTTGTTCGAATCCCTAATTTCCTTTCTTCTCAATTCAATGTTAATTTGTTCTTCTCTATTATTGTTGTTCTCCATTATTGTTATGCAGCAGAATCATTTTGCAATTAAGGTATGATTGATTCACTCGAGTGAAGAACAAGAAAAAAAATTCAATCGGTTGATTAAATCTTATTTGTCAAAATTAATTCGGAATTCTTTAAAATTTTGGATTTAATTCCAACATCAACTATTCCTTCTAAAATTACAATTCACACATCTTATTTTACAAACACTATTTACTAATGTACTTTTCCTTTAAATTTATATCTAAGAATGATGATCTAAATTTAGAGAGAAATACATTAAAGTTTAACTTAAATCAAGCTCTATGTATCTAAACAATTTGGCTAATTCAGCAACAAATTCTCAATGGTGTATCCTTATACCATAGTTTTTTCTATTTTTTGTTTTGTTTTTATGAATGAGCCTCCTAAAGTAGTTGAAATCTCAGCCTAGATGTGACTAATCAACCAACTAAATTAATGGTGCATCCACAAAAGTCTTACGTAATTCTTTGGTAATATTTAACCAATGAAGCATTCTTTTAGTCACTTGGCATAATAGGCCAAGTAGCAATACATGCAAGTTAACAAAACTTATCATGGAATATGAAGATTTAAGAAAGAAGCAATGTCTACAAAAGAAAGTGTCCATCAAGGACCATAAAACTGGCACAATTAAACAAACTTTACCAATATTTGACGCAGTGCCAACCTGCACAAGCCTAAAGATAACACTTGCCAGAATCAGTAGGTACCATATTATTAGAAAGTGAAGAGAGTATAGCAGCTAATACATATCAAGCATATTGCACATGTATCTTTTGATAAAGAAAACAGAAAAGATATAAATTCTCCACTTTGATGTAGTTGAATGTACTCTTAACCAAACTTCACGCCTGAAAGGACTACTACCTTTTATTAGATCATGCAGTTTCCTGAACTCTTCAAGAACAAAAGTCACATTTGCAGTGAGGCTTGTTATCTGCAAAACAGAAAATAATTAACATGTGCCATTGCTGCCATGGAAATTTGCAGTTTAAACTTTTGCCCTTCAACTTCGGCAAGACGAATTCTATCCACAATTGTACTTCGCTGCAAAACTGACATGGGAAAGTTCTACTACAGATAAGAGTCTAGACCAGTGGAACATCAACTTATTTTCACTTGAAGAAAATATACATACATACATAAATACACAATAATACACGCATTACCATTGTTTTCATAAAGAAAAGGATTTTCTGAAAGATTCACACTGAAGCCAAATATTTATTGTTATAGATTTCCAGAAAGATATTTTTACAATGGAGAATATTTTAAATAGATAGATTGGCTTAAGAACAGAAGAAATGTTCACATTTGGTTTTGACCAAATGTGACAAATATTTATGAATTTATACAATGTGGCAGCATGAAATCCAGAACGACCGGATTAGTCAACTGCATTCAATAGTAGATTGACAGAATCATTTTGACATGAGCTATGTGTTCGGCACTCTGTACACCTTCAGCAATGGGGAAATCAATTCACAGATTACTCTTTCTCCCCTGAGAAAAAATTTGTAAAAAGCAGATAACCCATTTCCAAGAGACAACATTATCCCTCGTCATCAATGTTATCATCACCGGAAGGATTAGGTCTAGTCTCTGATAATGAAAGCCTCCTTGGCTTTGCTGAGCCCGACTCAACAAGTCCTTCTGATGATAAACTTAATGCAGCAGTTCCTGATGAAGAGCCTAACAGACGCCGGCTCGGGGCATCAGCTAAAGGTGATGCGACGTTATAGGTGAAAATTCCCATTGGATGATCAAACTTGCAACTTGGGCCAAATTTGCATATGCCATACCGCGAGTAGAATACACAAAGAGGTTCTCCCTGCAGAAAAAGGGGACACTACCTCTATCAGATTGTACCAAAATCAACAAATGAACCAAATTATTGTGACAAGAATATTGATGCAATAATTTCATGAAAATACTATCAGGCGCCCTTAGGGCATTGTTTAAGGAATAAAAAAATGTAACTTTTGTATAAAAAATGATGTAATTATCAGGCACCCTTTTGCTTTTATTCACTTCAACCAATAACACAACACCAATATATTTAATGTATTTCACACATTTAAAAGAAGGAAATAATAACACAAATACACTGGATACACATTTCGGGAATGATCTGCTCCATCAACATCAATGTTGCCAAAGATCACAATTAGTTTTAGACAATATAGCCAAGAAAAAATATATTTCAAACAACTCATACAGGTCACTTTTTCGCTCTGCTCCCATATGTCATATACCATCTCTTTTTTTCCTCTCCAATATGAGACCATAGGATATTAGTTACATACACCCTTTGCTAGCCATCCTTGCTTAGGGGGCAGAGCCCCTGCTTCTCATGTAACTTCTAGGTGGGGAATCTATCAGAGACCAATACAGAAGTAATAATTTTAAACAGTTATTACTGTTAGTAATTCGCCGTTTTCTTGATAGTAACTTCTTGTTTTGTGTTGACAACGTATGGAATGTTTTAAAAAGCCCAAATTTTAGAAACAATGTGGTAAAATGTTAAAAGGCCAAAAAGTTATCAACATCAACACGGAATTTATCAACACAGAACAATAAAGAAGTTTTTATTCGTCTTCCTTTAGGTGGTGTGAAATGTACAACACTATTCGGACTTGCAAATTAAATTATTCCTCCTTTAGCTCCAACAATGAATTAATCATTTTAGGAGGGAGATAGATATGACACCTTAAATCAGAGGACCCGAAATTTGAGTATAGGGTCCCAATATTTCTTCAAAGAGCACAGCCCAACAATTGTATTGGGTATGTCTCGAATAAATTCGTAGGGTCACCGTCGTGAGTTTAAATTCAGAGGAACCAAATACAAGTAACTGGAAAATGTAAAGCTCAAGGAAAATGCAGTAGTAATCAAATTAATCAACCCACAAGCAAAACTAAGAAGACTCATTCTTTTTCAAGGCCTTAGCAAACTCAGTTAAAACCTGAGAGAATTATAATGAAGTATAAATTCAGAAATAGAATGAATTAATAATGAAATGTAAACACGAAATTAGAACCCATTAAACAAAATATCAACTCACAGGACGCAAAGGAAGGCCAATGGGACTCAAAACACAATCAGGGGCAGGGATCTGCCTCTCTCGTGGGTGGTGAAAACGACAAACTGCACCGAACTTGCAATCTCCGGTCTTCATGTAGAATTGGCATTCGGGCTGATCAGGTCTCTCTGGAAAAATGTTATCCCTTTGCAAAGCATAGAATCCTACTGGAACAGAGCCAGAACGGTATTGAGAATATGCCCCTTGGAGTCCTGCATTTTCTAATTCACCTTGGTGAGAAGTTCCATAGGTTTGATCATTTCTCATTGTTTGCTGTGGACTTTCTGATCCCATTTGACCCTGGAATAAAGAATGTGTTAGACCTTTCATTATAACTTGTTCAAAACTATTCAAAGTCAGTTTGTTGGACATCAATGGTTGCAGTTGTGTTTTATGATGCAGTTACTTGCAGTTATGTTTTAAAAATTTCTAACAACTTGGTAAGAGGCATTGAGCCCATGCCATGAACCAAATACACAAAAATTACGCTATTAGATGAAACACATAAATGGTTTTATATCTAACAGATAGAAACAATGTAGCCCATTTATGAGACAAAAGTGTGGCTCATAATCAACCACAACCATAGAATATCACATCCTTCTATTCCTTTATTATAACCTTTCCTAAGAAAGATTAGATGAGCTTACACTGTATGTACTCCACCCAGGCACTGAAACCACTCCTTGGGGTAGAATTAAGGGTGCATAACTTGAAGGACCTTGCCACCTTGGACTAGGAACATAGGATGAACTAGACCAATTTGTAATTCCTGCCGCATATGACTGCTGACCTGGTGTAGTTGGAGATTGGACAGTAGGATAAACAGTCGAACCCCTCATTGATAGTACCATATTACTTGGTTGAGGATGATGAAATTTGCAAGTGTTCCCAAACTTGCATTGACCAGTTCTTAAATAATAAGCACATTCAGACTCATTCTGCATAAATAAGCAACAAAGAAAATATAGAGTTAGACTATTAAGGATCCCATAAAACATTCAGGTGTCAGGTAAGAAATAGCAGCATACAAGGCTACAAAATTTTAGAAAACAAACAAAACAAAAAAGAATTGTTTGAATCAAACCAATTCTCAGTATAAAATTTTATGAGGCAAGTTAATGGAATGAAACTAAATAAGTAATTAAACAAGAAACGGCCACAAATTGACAAACAATTACTGTACTAGCTGTAATTACATATAAACAAACAAGAGGGAAATTTTGGATACTAACCGGGCGGAGTGGATAGCCTAAAATGTTCAAGGCAACTCTTCCAGCAACCCCAGCCTTGTCTTTAGGATGATGAAACCTGCATGTGGCACCAAATTTGCAAGTTCCTGTTTTCAGATAGTACTGGAAAACACAAAACCGATATCAGTATTTGTAATATGGTGAATAAATAAAAACTCAAGTACAGATACATACAATGTTTAAAGAAAAACTAGGGCTTAACATTATTGATTTGATGTTAACATTGATATGTCATACAACTAAATGGAATGAATAGATCTTAAGATAAACATGGAAAAGTTTTTTCTTAAAAATGATTAGCACGCTGAAACTAGTGAATTAACTAACTGGTTTTCAGCTAAAGGTAAGCTGGACTCATTTTAAATGAAAATAGACCGGCTACCTCAAAATTCATGTGAATTTATGCATTCAAATTTGATTAACTTTCTGTACAAATACACTTTTTTCAAATAAATCTAAATAAGTCATTCCAAACACAATAATACAAAAATGGATTACATGCAAGATGCAACACTCATTGACAGCTCGATCTCTTTACCCCCCATTGCCGATCTCCATTCACAAAAGTGTTTTAAACCTTCCAATTTTAACTATCCTACACAAATTATTTCTGTGTCTTCAAACAACATTACCTTGTATTAGGATTAGAACTGTAATCAAATATGAATAAAAATTCATAGGGACTGATCTCTCGGGAATTTCCAAGTATCCTAAAGAGTCAAGTTGGGGCCAGAGCCTCATTTTAACTCCGGCCTTGATCATGGGGATACTTTTTCCCTGTTGCTAAACAGGCATTTGTCCAACTTGTCTATATATGGTCTCAATAAATTTCTGACAGTTTGGATGAGTTAGTAAAGCTATATGGCATTTGGCATAGTCCGTACTGAGGTAGATCATTTTGTGTTTTATAACCAGCTTCCCTCTAATAAGTTTATAATATATTTGTTATTCCTATATGCATGATATCATTACTACAAGAAACAATCAAGAAGGCATCAAATCTCTAAATTAGCATTTATATTTTAAACTAAAGACTTGGTCATCTTCAGTACTTTGTTGGGATTGATGCTATGCAGTTAGAAACGGGTATTGTCAAAAGCAGAGTTTCAAGCTATTGCTCATGCAACTTGTGAACTTACATAGTTATAGTTTATAAAACAATTGCTTCACTATGAGGTTTTGCAAGAGCAGTCCTATAAAACTTATTTGTAATAACCTAGTTGCATTCCACGCACATTGGATCTAATCTAGTCACTCAACATCTAACAAAATGTTTCTATGGGTATCGCTGCTACTTCATATGTGAACTCCTTTGATGAACTAGTAGACATTTTCACCAAACCTCTTCAAGCAAATAGAATAGCCTTCATACATAACAAAATTGATACACATGACATGTATGCACCAGCTGAAGGAGGAGTGTTGGTTATTATAGATAATTTCTGTATCTCTTATCCCTATAATTTTAGAGTGATCTTTTAATGGGATTTGGATTGTTATCACTTATCATTATATGTAAATATAAATTCAACGGGAGTAAGACGAAATCTCTCGGGCCATTCCAAGTGTTCTAAAGAGTTCATGTTACAATTTTTAAAATTTGTAAAATTCCATCTTAAAAAGAAAATTTCACAGAACATGCACATGAACAAGCAATATTATGCACCTTATGCAGTCATTGAGAAACAAGTACATGCCTGACATTCTGGCTGCCCTAACCTCTCTGGGAACTCGCCTTTCATCCGTGCAGTGGCAATAGCCTGATTGTATTCAAAGTAAAACTTATCAGATATACACAGTGCAAAGTAACAAACTCATGAGCATGTGCCGGCGTAATTTTTTTCGGAAAGAAACCCAGAAAATAACTGTTACTGAAAGAAGAATATGAAGGGCGAACATCAAAGCCACATAGTTTCAATTTCAACTGCCATCACCTAGGATGTTGGTGTAAATAGGGGTGCTATTGAATGAGTAAATAGAAAAACCTAAGAGTTGTGTTCAAGCATCAACAATATCTAATACATACACACATAATAAGTTTATAACAACATTTTGTCCAAACTCATTGCATAGTTCATACCAGCTTCCTGTTAGGAGGATGATTAAATCGACATGTTGCTCCAAATCTACAAAGGCCAGTTCTGATGTAGTATGAACAATCTGGTTCTCCTGGATGCTCTGGATAAGGCCCTGATTCCATTGTTTCACTTGATCTCAAGTTCATTTGCCACATTGCTTCTGAAATAACATAGCATGTACATGTCAATTTTTCAAGAGAAAAATCATATTAATGTACCCTAAACATGCAAAAGAGAGAGTCGAGTAACACAACACAGCTATGACAAATCATCAATTTCACCACATTCCAAATACATAAGAGTCCGAGACTCTTCTATATGTCAATTTGATTATCTCGGTGTAACATAACTTGGCTTTAACTTAAGGATATGTATCTGAAAAATGGAAGTATAGAAAGCTCCAAGTCACAAACGCTGTGGCATGGTCCTTGATGACCCCACTCTGTGATGAAAAAGTAAACCCCTTTCAAAATGCTAAGACAAGGCCAAGACTTTTTCAAAAGCTACCCTGGTCTACACTACAAATTCTCCCCCACACCAAAAAAAACATAAAAATAAAAAGGATTAAATATTCATACATAAATAAAATGTTGTAAAAGTTTCCATCAATTGCAACTTGAATAATTAAGAATCAGTAACCAATTCAGTAAAAAAAAAACAATTTATCAAGAAATCGCGATTCTAACATTAAAACATACAACATTCATTCACAATTTTCCGCAATAGATCATTAAGGCACCATGATTTTGTGAAGCTCCGGGTGTAGCTCAATTGATCATTCATAATTTCACCGCAATTCTGCCAATTCCACACTCTCTCCAAACATAAACATACACTACAACCACAAATTAAACCCTTGCATGCATATATATTAGAAAACACACAAACCTAAAATTACCAGAAATTAAAAATTCGAAAACGAAAGCAATTAATTATTAGTTCGAAAAAGGAATGACATTCACTAATATTAACTTAAATTTAATAGAACTAAGTGATTCTGCAAAAGCAACCAGAAGCATAAACATTACCAGCAGAAAAAAAAAATAGATTTCAGGTGTGACGGTTATTTTACTACACAGACGTGAAAGAAAAAAAAACCACATACATACTAGAGAGAGAAACAATAGGCGAAGATTCTTAGATCTCATACAATCAATCAGACATAAGAGTTCGAAGAATCGAGAAACAATTAAGCGATGATGATGATGATCGGTGATGAAACGATATGGATGAAATTGAGAATGAGAATTTGAGAACCTTGAGGGATAGTATCGAATTCCATTGACGCGGCATATAGTATATCAGATTAGAATTAGAATCATCACCGGGCTGTCACACTCAAAGCTCACAGCCCCACGTTTCGTTAACTCACTGATCTAACTCTAACTCTAACTCCCCGAGATCAACCTCCACCCTCAACGATAATAATAACAGTTATAATGATAATTATTATATTATTATAATAATAATAATTTAATAGTATTATTATTGAGAAATAAAGGAAAAGAGAGTGATAGAGGAAAAAGAAAGAAGAAAAGAAAGAGAGAGGTGGCGTTGTGTTGTGTTCTCCACTCCACAAATGAGAACAAAGAATAAAAGCCAACCAACCAACCTCATCTCATCTATCTATCTCTATTGATATGTTACTGTTATTAATGCTGCTTTTTTTTTTTTTTTATCACCCGCGTTTTCCACAACACACGTTTCTGTTCTCATGTAGAACCTCATCTGCCTACTTGCTTGTCCTCGCTTTTCCTTTTTCTCTTTTTTGTTTAATCCACATATTTTGACTTTTTTCTTGAGTATTTTTCCATCTTGAATAAAATATGAATATAAATATATATAATATTCAAAAAGATTATTTACTTTTTAAATTTTTTGAAAATTATTATAACTTTTGTGCTTATATTTATTTAGGAGAAAGTATAAAACTTGTGTACTAAAAAAATTGTTGGAATATTAAGTCATGGATTATTTATATAAATTAAGAAATTTATCTTTAACAAAAAGAAATATTTAATTTTATTAGTTGTAATTCATAGTTTTGTAGAAAGCTGACATTCGATTGTGTCGAAGTAGTTAGTCGAATTAGTATGAGTCAATTGTATTCGACTTTGTCGAATACAACATATAGTTGTTATGTCGAAATGTAACTTGTAGTTTTATATTTTGCACTTTGAAAATTTTGGATCTGAACTTTAGTTTCTATATAAAGGGCATGGTATGATGTAAACAACTACACTCAATAAGGATTATGTTTTATCACAAATTCAATTTATAGTTTTCTCTCTTCTTCTCTCATCTTTTTTGAAAACCCTTTTGTTACAACAAATTGTTATCAGAGAGTTCGGGTTGCGATTCAGAGAGAATCTACAATGGCAAACCGAACACCAACATCAACACAATTTCCAGCGAATCTATCAGTTTTCAAATGTGAGAACTATGAATGGTGGATTGCACAGATGAGGGTCATCTTCATATTTTAAGATGTGTCTGAAATAATGAGTGATGGGGTACCTGAATTGAAAGTGAATGCAGATGATATTAAGAAATCTGCACACAAGGATCAAAAGAAGAAAGATGGAAATGTTTTGTTCTTGATCCATCAATGTGTGGATTCTAACGTGTTTGAGAAGATTATTAAAGAAGAAACATCAAAAGGAGCGTGGGAAAAGTTAAAGAACTTGTAATGCAAAGACAAAAAAATTAAAGAGGGTGAAGTTGTAGACGTTGAGAAACAAATTCGAGATAACTCAGATGAAGGAAGATGAATCAGTCTCGAAATACTTTTCACATGCGGTGTTGTTAACGAACCAGATGAAGGTGTGTGGTGAATCTATCAACGATTTGAAAAAAATTAAGAAAGTGTTGATATCTCTGACCGCGAATTTGATTATATTGTAGTGTCTATTAAACAGTCCAAGAACCTAGATAAGATGAAGTTAGAAGAACTTCAAACTTCATTAGAGGCTCACGAGATGAGGATGAAGCAAAGAAACTTAGAAAGGGGAAGGTGGCTGAACAAATATTGCAAGCAAAATTCGTCAAGAAGTTTGAAAAAGAGAAAGCGGAACAAAGAAAAAATCTTCCTAACGATAAGAAGTCAAGCAAGAATTCAAAGAATCGCTCTGATTCGACCATAAAATACATGGGCAATAAGTATTCGGGAATGAAAGTTGACATGAAGGAGGTGCATTGTTACAACTATCAAGACTTTGGTCGTTATGCTCAAGGTTGTCGAAGAAAGAAAGAAGCAAGAGAAAAAGATAGTGATGAAGCATAATATGCACAAGCTGGAGATATTGATTCTAATGATGTACTACTGATGCCAAATACTCAACCGAGCAATGAGAAAACCAACACGTGGAACCTAGATTCAGGATGCAGTAACCACATAACTAGTAATAAAAATTAGTTCACCAAACTAGATGAATCAGTTGAGAAAGTAATAAAGTTCGCAGATGGTATGCACATCATATAAGGTGGAAAAGAAGATATCTCTATTGTCAGAAAGGATGGTCGAAAATCCAGCATCACGAATGTGTTGTATGTACCTTCGATGACAAGTAACGTGATAAACATAGGACAATTACTCACAAAAGGGTACAACATAAAGTTGGAAAAGAATCAGATGAAGGTGTATCATGGTGATGAAAGGTTGATTCTAAAGGCACCATTGACAGGAAACAAGGCCTTCAAAGTAAAGATCAACACAGTTGATCACAAGTTTCTTGCTTCGACTACAGAAAAAGATAAGAACTTGCTATGACATCACAAGTATAGAAATCTAAACTTCAGAAGTTTAAGTATGCTAAACCAGAGGAAGATGGTGTATGGCTTACCTCAGGCGAAGGAACTAAGTCGGGTATGTGAGGAATGTTGTAAAGCAAAACATACTAGGAAGGCATTCAAATATGACTTAACCATAAGGTGGAAATAAAATCTTGAGCTCATTCACTCTGATGTGTGTGGACCTTTAGAAGTAAGGTCGAGCGGAGGTAGCTGTTATTTCCTAACTTTCATATATGAATTCACTAGATATATGTGGATTTACCTTATTATAAGGAAGATTAAGGTATTCACATAATTCAATAAGTTCAAATTTCATGTCAAGAAGCAAAGTGGACGCAAGTTGAAGAAACTAAGAACTGATGGTGGTGGTTAATACACCTCTCGAGAATTTACTAGATTTTGCAATGAGGAAGTTGTAGAGCATGAGGTTATCGCACGATATACACCTCAGTATAATGGCATAGCTGATAGGAAAAATTGAAGTATAATGAACATGACTAAGAGCATGTTGAAAGTTTAAGATACGCCAAAGATATTTTGGGGTGAAGCAACATCGACAGCAGTATACATTGTTAGACGATGGCACGGATCTAGAAGGGAGGGTTGAATAGATCCCTTGTTAAAAAATTAGTCGGAGCTACCAATAAAAATGATTTTAAAAATTTGTTTAATTTGCGGAAGCGACCCTGGAAAAATACTGTCTATAACGAACAGTTACTAGAAAACCGAATATGCGTTTTAGCCGATGGAATCGGATAACGCGTAATGAGAATCACTATGCTAGTCACACTATCAAATTGATTTAGCTCACAATGCGGTATGACTAGTTCCAATGCCTTAAAATATTACCACAATAAATGGATAGCACACAAGGCTTTTCGTTCAGACAATTTATCAAACACTTGGCGTGCAGAGCACTACAAGTGAGTTCCTCTTTGAGTAATTTGCTCTAGTTTCCTTGTACAATCAACGATTGTACTAGAGTCAAAATCAGTTTAGCACTTACTCAAAACAATCCTAAATTTGATATAATTGCTTGTACTAAAACTACACAAATATTAAGCAATGTAAAAACGAAAGGTAAAAGGCACAAGGATTTGTTGAGGCAGTTCCCCCGTCGTCCTCGCTTCGGGGTACGTCTGCCCTCAATTCTAACAATAGAATTGAGCTCTTATAGTATAAATTTAACCTGTTGTAGAATCGTATATACAAGAATGAAATAGAAATCAAACAAACGAACTCCCTTGTTGTTGTGGATGCTATCTCCTCTTGCCCCTTGATTCGAGTCGAATCAAGTCCTTTGACAGCTTGTGAATGAACCTCTGATTACAGCTCTATGTTTAAAAAACCTTCCGTCTTCAAACCCCAGCCCGGCTAATCTTAAACACTCGCGTGTCGAACCCGAACTTCTCCTTCACAATTCTCCGATTACCACTACTAGATCGACGGAACCCACCGCTCCTCGATCACCTTCACTCGGCTGAATATGTGTTGAGAAGACTCATCCAAAAACCCCCAAATTCAGAGAATCTTAGAGGATAAAACCCTAGAGGTTTTATTCAAGAAAAACCTGTCAATTCCTCAACCCGAACCGGATTACCCAACCAACGGCCTCGAAAGTTATCACCTTAGACAATCCATAATGCACAACAAAGATTATTTTGTGTGATTGTTGTGGTATGAAATGTAGAAGATGAAGATGATGAGAACTTGAATTGACACCTCTTTCACTTTTCTTGTTTTTCTAATTGATTCAATTGATTTGAAATGAATAGAGCAACTGAATATTTATACCAGACAAAACTGTTATAACTGATAAAACCACCTTTCAAAAATAATAGACAAATAATGAAATATGCAGCAAACAACGAGCGGTCGACCCATGCAGAGTGCAGGGTCGACCTGAGCTAACCCGAGGAAACATATTTTGCAAAACATATAGCCATGCGTCGACTGGAACAAGGCATGCGTCGACGCATAGCCTGGATTTTTTGACAAATAGAAATAACAACAGTATGCATCGACCGGTAGGTCGAGCATACCTAACCCGAGGAAAATGCATTTTTAGGACACATCCAATGAGTCGACCGGAGCAGAGTTTAGGTTGACTCAAAGACCTGAAACTTCAAAAAATGCCTAAATTCATATTTTTGATTCTTTTAGATGATACCTATGATAGACCAATCGAGTTTAACTCGTATGATGCATATTTTGACAACTCTAAATGCAGTACTCGAGATATTTAGTGCAAGCAAATAAACATGAGAAATAAGGCATGCTTATGCATCATGGTGATAACGCCAAATGACTATTCTTTCATGCGGCAAGGTTTTGACATCATCGAAATACGCATACCTAGTATCTGAGGCTTTGCTCTCACATACATTATAAATAGATGTCCAACCTAGAAGATATGAGTGCGCTATCCTCTTAGATATATTTGAATGATGTCAAAACTAGGGCACTTAGTATTTTAGTACATTCAATTTT